GTTGACCATGCTGAGTAGGGGAATCTTTGTATGTTTTTATGTCTTAATGTGGGATTGAATTATTGCCAATTTGGAAGCTTCCCTTTGGGGTAAAAATACCGAAAATAAATAAAGAAATAAAATCTGAAAGCTGCTGGCCAAAACACTTTATTTTCAGTTATGCTGAACTAAAATCTTGGTACAGTTCATTCAGACCCATTGACTGCTCTAGGAGGGGGAAATGTAAAGGGCTGCTCAGTGATTTAGAGCAAAATCCAACAACAATATTTGGGTCTTGTATTTGTCCACTGTAAAACAGAATGGTAAAATATTGGAACAGTTTGATTATGCAGTTTTGCAACAGTGAAGATGTTATTTTGGGGGGGGGGGGGAGAAACACCCAAAGAGAAAGAACTGGAAATATTTGTTAATTAAATAAATTAATGATTTCATGTGTGTGTGTGTAGTTGTTTCTTTGGGTGATAGGGTTAAAAGAATCTTATCTTTTCATTTTTCTTTTGAGGTTGAGAGTGGGGCTCTGGGGATGAAGGAAAGGTCAATCTTGAGGTGTTGAGAGTCACAGCCTAATTTTGGCTCGAGGGGTTCCCCTGAATCACAAAAGGAGAGATGATCAGATTAAGGTGTTACGGCTTCCTGGATGTTCAACTCCTCAACAGTTTCTCAAACTCATATATTATGTCAAGTTTCTTTGGGGGCCTGGGAATATGTCTATGTTTGCACCCCAATTTTTGTGTGTATGTGTTTACTAATAAAGTGTATTAATCTGTTCATTAATATAGCATAAACCTGAATCAAGATATAGGAGAATTTCTAAAAAGTTTTTGTCAATGTAATTCTCTATAAGGTGTGGGGCCATTGTCTATGATCTGGGGGGGTCTTCCACCAAACCAGTTTTAGACTTGGTAAATGATTAGCTTAATCTTCCCAAGAATGTTTGGGATTGGGCTGGGGCTGAGCTTGGCTGAGACCCACCTAAGCTCTAAAAATATGTGATACATTTATAGTTGTTGTTGTTATTATTAGAGGAGGAGGGTCGATTTTTCAATAACACCTCCAAATCAGAATTCTGTGCCTCCAATAAAAAGTTCCTTCAGTCCTCAGTTTTCTAAACATTGAAAACTTTTCACACCTAATTATTTAATACCGGTTGAATATTCCTTATTCAGAATACAAAATACCTCAACATTTGAAATTGTCTTCAGTGGTTTTCAACCTTCCTAATGCTGTGACCCCTTAATACAGTTCCTCATGTTGTGGTGACCCCCAACCATAACATTTTTGTTGCTACTTCATAACTGAAAATGTGCCACTTTTATGAATTGTAATGTAAATATCTTATATGCAGGATGCATTTTCATTCACTGGACCAGATTTGGCACAAATACCCGATACACCCAAATTTGAAAACTGGTGGGGTTGGTGGGGATTGATTTTCTCATTTGGTGGGCACTGACCTTAAGTTTTGGAGTTGTAGTTCATCTACATCCAGAGAGCACTGTAGACTCAATCAATGATAGATAAGGGACCAAACTTGGCACCAATACTCAATATGCCAAATATGTGAACAGTGATGTAGTTTGGGGCTAATTGACCTTGATGTTTGGGAGTTGTAGTTGCTGGGATTCATAGTCCACCTACAATCAAAAGGGCATTCTGAATCCCACCAATGATAACTTTCCATACAGAACCCCCCATGACCAACAGAAAATACTGTGTTTTCTGATGGTCTTTGGTGACCCCTCTGACACCCCCTGGTGACCCCTCCAGAGGTCCTGACCCCCAGGTTGAGAAACACTGGTCCACATAGATGGCTGAGATAGGGAGACCTTTGCTTTTTGATATTCATTTTACATAAATGATGTCCTGCACAAAATGAATAAAATATTGCATGATTTTATCTTCAGGCTATATATAAGTTGTGTATAATCCATAAATGAAATCTGAATTTTGACTTGGGTCCCATCTCCAAGATACGAACACTTCTGGTCCCAAAGCATTTTAGATAAGGTATACTCCATCTGTTTCTGCTGTGTTCACATTTCTTTGAACACTTTGCCACATTTCTTGAATGTCTAAATTCTATGCTCAGCTGATGTTTTAAGTCATTACAATGCCAGAAATGTGGGGACTAAATTTTTTCATGGGGGGTGGAATTCTTATGGAGGGCAATGCCCTCATTTCTCCTCTCATAGCTACATCCACACCTGCATGGACATACCCACAGGGTTTTAACCAGGTACCATTTCACACTACAAAATTAAAGTATCATGATTCCATTTAAATTACCATGGTTCTGTCCTCTGTAATTATGGGATTTGCAGTTTGGAGGAAAATAATTTAAAATTCTAAGCCAGAGAACCACGGGATCTTTGATGATGCAGCCATGGCAGTTGAAGTGAAACGATGCTGCTGTAATTATGTAGTGTGGAAGGCTCAAATTCTCCAGTACTTTAAAACTAAGATTGTTTGTTGTTCATTCGTTCAGTCGTTTCCGACTCTTCGTAACCTCATGGACCATTTGTATTTAAAACTAAGATTACATATGTGAAAACTGAGCTTGCACCTGTGCCTTTTAAAACCTGAGCTGTGACAGTCCAAAAGAAACCAAAATAAGATGAAGGATGGGATAGAGGAAAGTTTTCTGTCTGCTAGCCAAAGACCTGGCAGTCAGTAGCTGTATGTTTTTATATTGCCCAGTTGGAAACAACTTGAGTATCGGGGAAAGTGGGGGGGGGGGGGAGCACTCTTAGGGCTCAGTGCCCAGCTTGAAAATAGAAGTCAGGGCTGAATTTGAGCCGACCTTGGCTCAAAGGAAGACCTTTGATTTTCCGCACTTCCTCTGGTGTTTCCTCTGCTGCTGGCTGCTGCAACTGGACAACATGGAAAAGCACCTACCATTAAATCTTCTCTCCTCCCTTTGGATAACTTGATATGATCCTATTACAAACCAGGATTGATATTCTCCTAAAATCAGGGAAATCATTCCCTCCTTGCTGTCAAAAACCTTTGAATTCTTTGGCTTCCTAAATAATTCATTTGCAAGAGCTAATATGTCAAACGATTTGCCTGGTAAGCACTTTACGGCAGCCCAGGCTGTGTAATTGTTGGCCTACCAAATATTGCTTGAAAGAGACTCTCAGGATTTCCTCAGCATCCTGTGACTATTGGGATTTCTAGACCAACAACCTTTGGAGAATCTCAATATTTTCATGTTGTAGTCCATGGCTAAGGTGGCCATTTGTAGTATTTTGTAAAGGGCCCATACTTTCCAACACTTCTGATTTGGAAGAAAGTTCCAATTAATTTTTAGTCACTCCATGTTTTCACTGGCTTCTGAAATATTTCAGTATTTTTCTCTTCTTTTTCCTCAGCTTATTTCAATTAATTCAAACAAAGTTCAAAATTCAAACATAGTTGGCACACAATTAGCAGAGGAGAGGACATAATCTTTCCCTTCCCAGTTAGTTCAGGCAAAAGCAAACTACTACAGCCTCTTACTTTTATGTATTTCCTAAGGATTAGCTTTTGTCATCTAACCACACTCTAGTGTTGCTTGACCACATGTGACCTGGTTTTGTATGTGAAATGTTGAAGGATACGCGTTCCTCTGAAGGATTTTCAAAAAACAGAACTTTATCAAACCATTCTCCAATTCTCCATGTTATTGTAGGCAGTGGATACATGCTATATTGAGCTTCTTCAATATACACCTTTGTTCAATAGTCCAATTGTACAGCTTGCCATTACGTAGTCCTACAATCATATTTCAGCACACCTTTGAAACCCCACCTTCCTACATTGCTCCAGCTACTCTTTATTTTATTTTTTACTAGCTGTACCCGCCATGTGTTGCTGTGGCCAACCTTCTCTCCCCCTTTCTCTTCTTTCTTTCTCTTCTTCCTTCCCTCCCTTTTTCCTTCCTTCCTTCCTTCCTTCCTTCCTTCCTTCCTTCCTTCCTTCCTTCCTTCCTTCCTTCCTTCCTTCCTTCCCTTTTTTTCTTTCTTTCTCTCCTTCCTTCCTTCTTTTCTTCTTCCCTTCCTTCCCAACTTTTCCCTTCCTCTTGTCCCCTTTCTTCCTTCTCTACCTATTCTTAGACTGCAACTCCCAGCAGTCCTCCTGATCAATCAATCTATCTGGAAGATTGCTGGGTTTTGCAGTCCAGGAATAGGAAATTGGAAATATGCAGGGATTGGGATGCTCTCAAAGAAATCCAAGGAGAAGAAATCTTGCAGCTTGGAAGCAGTGCATTTGAATCATCCTCCTCTCCTAAAGGGCCTGGACTAGGGGAAGCTGGGAACTGTAGTCCAGAAGAGAATGTGGATATGCTTTTGTGTGTTTTGTTTGCCGGGGGAGTTGTTTTTGCGCATGCGCTGTGGCATCTCTTTGCTTTTTTGGTTTTTAAGTCCCTTCTGCTGTGTTTTTCAGTGTTTTTATGAGTGATGGTCATACATTGGCCTGATAGGTGTATTGTGTCCAAATTTGGTGTCAATTTGTCCAGTGGTTTTTGAGTTATGTTAATCCCACAAACGAACATTACATTTTTATTCATATAGAAGTGAAAATTTAGCATTAGAAACAAAACAAAAAAGGATGTGTGTGTGTGTGTGTGTGTGTGTGTGTGTGTGTGAAATAAAAAGAAAACAGCCACTTTGGTAATAGTAAGGTGGAGAGGAGAGAGAAGGAAAATACCACCTTGATGTCACATCACTGCCAGTATGGTAATACAGAAGTGGAAGAGACCCATTACATAAAGGTAGTTGATGGGAACCTAGTGGGATGGGGAGCTATTGATGTCTCCCCCATCATTGCTAGGGATAGGAGAATCACAGGTGGGGTCTGGAAACCTCAGGACCTGGGATGTTCCTGAATGTGCAACACTTTTTTCCCACTCCTCACAAGCTGTATGAGTGGACTATAAATAATAATGAAATAAACAAGGAAAATCATAGATGTGACAAACTCTTTTTAGGAAACAAAAAGAACTGGACTGGACAATTCGGTATCAATCAAAGGCAGTCCACAAGCATGCCGCAGGGAGGGCCTTTATAATTTATTAGTACAATATCATTCCGGTGACTGTATGTAGACATCATTGCTACGTAAAAGAAAAAGGGTTGGACCACCAAACAGAAGAAGAATCAAAATGCTAAGGCTCAGAAGTCTGCAGAACTATTTCACAACGTGGCCATTTTGTATCCTTTCTAAGGAAACTCTTGAGATTTAAAATTGTTTTATAAGAAACATCAAGTCAGACTACAACACACATTTCAAACCAACTAATCACCCATTAATCATAGGCTGAATGCTGGTGAATCCTGTCATATTCAGGAGTCCAGACTTTATATGTTCTCTCTTGTTAAAGAGTGACAATTCTATTATTTATTACTCATGAAAGGATTTGAAAGGATTTGCATAGTTTAGAATGATCATTAGCTTGATACATCAAAGCCTTCAAAGAACATTACACAGAAGTGGCACCTGGGCACATGGTGATCATCCCAAGTGAAACCATGGCTACTTGAATCCTAGGCTTGTCTGCATCGATGGCACATTCCTGAAAGGGAGAGATTGACTTAGGCACCTTTTACCTCTCTCCTTCTCACTCCTCACTAGACTCAAAATGTATTGACTGCTAATGTAAGTGCTAATTTTGTAGGTCTTCCTCTTACTGACTGAAGGTAGCTTTGCAGGCTTCTGCCACATTGCTGTTGCGTGTCCTTGAACCATTACTGATTTATGCCAACCCTAAGGCAAACCTATCATGGGTTTTTCTTGGCAGAAATTGTTCAGAAGGGATTTACCTTGCCATTGCCTTCCTCTCAGGCTGAGTGTGACTTGCACAAGGTCACCCAATGGGTTTCCATAGCTGAATAGGACTTTCAGATGAAAAGGGTTGAACGTTTCCCTACTCTTCATTTTAAGGCACTGAGTTGCCCATTTTATTCACACATACCCTACTTTTTGTTGTTGCTGTAAAGGAAGATTTAGTTCTTAAGGACAGAACTGCTCTAAATATTAACTGTAAAGGTACATTGTGGTGGCATCACAGGTGACTAACCAATCAATATCATGCCCAGTTTGTTTTCTGTCTTTCAGTATTACTTTTGTTTCTTTACATGAACTGGGAAATGAAAGACATAGAAAATGATGACACTCTCTATGAGGATTTCTCTACTGTAAAAATGGTGTGTCGTTATCATAGAAATGTTGGAAACCCACTTCAATGCAATTTAGCTCTGTTTCCCTATGAGTTGCTTGCAAATGTAACCAAATCCTAAATTGAGAGAGTGATCCAAACAACCCGGGAAAGCAAAGCAGGTATTTTACAACTCCACTTCCCTCTTTCCTTGGTCAAAGTCACATGACAGTCTTAGAAGGAGATAATACGATCTGAAACAACACTGATACACCAAGTGGTTGATCCCAATCTTCAGAGTCACTTCAGAAGGGACTATTCTGAGCTGGGGGAAGCAGCAGAGTCCATGTCCTCCATGTTGTGGTCCTGAGGTGACACCGGCTGTCCACCTTTGACACGTTTCCATTTCATCCTGCGGTTCTGAAACCATACTTTGACCTGCAGGAGAAGGGGGAAGAACATAAATAGTGATTATAATCCGTTACTACACATGGCTACGATTTTTGGCTGGCTACCTGAAGAAGAGTTCATTTGCACTGTAGAATTAATACAATATGAAACCATTATAATGCCATGATTCAATGCTATGCAATAATGGAACTTGTAGCTTATGAGAAGGGACAACTCGGCCTTTTCACTAGGTCCGTTGTTGGAGATAGGGATAGTTGTAGGACACTCAATAGTGCCAGCCACTGCCAATGAAGATTTAGGGCAATGTTGTTAATTGAAAGGGTGCTTAAAACCCCATTGGATCTGGTACTGGGAGAAATATGGGATAGTAATTAAACAAAAACAAATTAATATAGTAGAACAGAATAGAGTAAACCTAATCTTCTGGCACTATGTATCTTTCCAACAACCCACAAAAGCATAGACAGTTGCATAAAACTTTGTATATTTGCTAAAAGTACAGGTGCAGATTTTAAACTAATTGCTGTAATTGGAACATTGAATACAATATACCTTGTTGTTGTTCATTCGTTCAGTCATTTCTAACTCTTTGTGACCTCATGGACCAGCCCACGCCTTAGCTCCCTGTCGGCCGTCACCACCCCCAGCTCCTTCAAGGTGAATCCAGTCACTTCAAGGATACCATCCATCCATCTTGCACTTGGTCGGCACCACTTCCTTTTTCCTTCCATTTCTCCCAGCATCATTGTCTTCTCTAAGCTTTCCTTTCTTCTCATGATGTGGCCAAAGTACTTCATCTTTGTCTCTACTATCCTTCCCTCCAATGAGCACTCAGGCTTTATTTCTTGAAGTATGGACTGGTTGGATCTTTTCGCGGTCCAAGGCACTTTCAGAACTTTCCTCCAGCACCACAGTTCAAAAGCATCTATCTTCCTCAGCCTTCCCTATGGTCCAGCTCTCACATCTGTAGGTTACTACGGGGAATACCATTGTTTTAACTATGCGGATCTTCGTTGCCAGTGTGATGTCTCTACTCTTCACTCTTTAATCGAGATTGCTCATTGCTCTCTTCCCAAGAAGTAAACATCTTCTGATTTCCTGGCTGCAGTCTGCGTCTGCAGTAATCTTTGCACCTAGAAATACAAAGTCTGTCACTGCCTCCACGTTTTCTCCCTCTATTTCCCAGTTGTCAATCATTCTTGTTGCCATAATCTTGTTTTTTTTTTATGTTTAGCTGCAACCCAGCTTTTGTGCTTTCTTCTTTCACCTTGATTAGAAGGCTCCTCAGCTCCTCCTCACTTTCAGCCATCAAAGTGGTGTCATCTGCATATCTAAGGTTGTTAATGTTTCTTCCAGCAATTTTCACCCCAGCCTTGCATTCATCAAGCCCCGCACATCGCATGATGTGTTCTGCATACAAGTTGAATAGGTTGGGTGAGAGTATACAACCCTGCTGTATGTCTTTCCCAATCTTGAACCAGTCTGTTGTTCCATGGACAATATACCTTAACCCAGTGCATAAAACTATATTGCAGATGACTTACATTCTTACTCATACATGTTGTTCATACACTAATCTTGGATAAGTAACTTGACAGCTCCTATTTTGCCCTCCTTTCTAATGGTTCTTTTTCTTTCAGTCAGATTTTGATTGGGTAGCAGTTCAAATAGAACACTGTCTTCTGAAAGCCCTTCAAATAGAGATGGATATAAGGTAGCTTGTTCCTAGATTGTCCTCTCCTAAAGAAGAAGAGTTAGTGTGGTGTCATGGGTTGAGTGATGGACCTTAATTCTGGAGACCAGGATTTAAATTCCATCTTGACCAATTGTGTGATTTTGGGCACCTCATACCAACACATCCTCAGAGGAAAGCCATGGCAAACCCCTCTGAACAAATCTTGGCAAGAAATCCCCATTATAGGTTCACCATAGGGTCATCATAAGCCGGAAATGCACACAACAACAACAAAATGTTCCCTTAGCACACCAAACTTCTCTCCAGCCATGGAAAGGTAAGGGTTAATAAATACCACTTCCTCCAGCATTATTCCCCTGATCAAAATTGGACAGAAAAACACACTGCTTGGTGTTTCTTTTATAGTCATTTTTAAAATAAAAAAACCTTTAAAATGGATATCCAGCTTCAAGTCTGGCTTGGGTCCCGTGTGAGAGAAAAGGTGCAGTCTTTGAAACGTTCCAGCTGTTTCTATACAGAAGTATAGGTCTTTTTGTGCCAGAACCATTTATGTGCTGTTTCTTTTCAGCAGCCCATGACAACAGCAGCCAAAGAAGCAGGAGCAAAGGCAGAAATGGATTTTTCCAGTAGTAATTTAGCAGCCAACAATCACTGACAGTTTCAAGTCTGCAGTGCAGCATTCAAAAATGACATGTACACATTCAGCCCCTGGATTAAGGCAAGGCAGAGGTTTTGAAACATGTCAGAAGCTGGGAAGGGTGACAAAATTTGTTCAGTTGGCATTTATCTACCAATGTACCAAATTTTGTACTATCAAAACATCAAAACACAATTTGACGTTGAAATTGCTGCATACCTTCCCAAATTACAAATTCCAATATTTCCATAAATGATGATATTTATTTATATCCCATTTGTATCTCTTAATTTAGGAGTCCCCAGTGGTGCAATGGGTTAAACCCTTGGTTCGAATTTGGGGAGAGTGTGGATGAGCCCCCTCTGTCAGCTCCAGCTTCCCATGCGGAGACATGAGAGAAGCCTCTCACAAGGATCGTAAAAACATCAAAACACCTGAGCATCCCCTGAGCAATGTCTTTGCAGATGCAACTTGCAGTTTCTCAAAGCACTCCTGACACACACACACAAAATCTCTTAATTGAAATGCAAAAAATAGAACCTTAGCAGTTAAAGAGGCATCAAAGTATTATCATTGCCTAACATGAAAAAGACACCTACCTCTGGCTTCGGTTCCCCTTCTAAAGGACAGCAATATTTAAATAGATACATAGGTTCATGAGCTCTAAATCCCTTCCATATGTCATTAGCCTTCTTTGGTCTGTTTTAATAAAGGTTTGGGTTTTTATCTTATTGTCAATGTATGACCAGAAGCACTGAGTTGGAAGAGACCACAAGGGCCATTTCTGTTTTAAGACCTCCAGAGATGGAGACTCCACCGCACTCCAAGGCAGCATATTGCAATATCAAACAGCTCTTGCCATCAAGAAGTTCTTCCTATGTTTAGGTGCGATCTATTTTCTGTAGTTTCTATTGATTTTACTATTTCTATTCTATATGTATAGAGAGATGTGTATAATCGCAGACATCCATATTTCTCTAAAGCTGTAGGTGAATGTACTCTAAGTGGCTGGGGATTACCTTGCCACTCCTAAAAGCCTTCAGGATACCCTCCAAAGTCCCACTTTGACAGGGGCAGCCCTTATTAATACTCTGTTGATACATTTTTTAAACTGTGTTTCACTCTACATCTCCCACTTTCCCTCTTTATCCCCAGCTTACTTCAATTCCTGCAAATGGAGTTCAAAGTATAAAAAGTAGTGGGGAGAGGAGAGTACAGAAGCTTGTCCTTCCCAGTAAGGGTCAGACAAAAGCAATTTACCATACTGTGATATTACTTGTCCAAATGTATCCTGATTTTTTTTTTGTCGTGTCAGGAGTGACTTGAGAAACTGCAAGTCGCTTCTGGTGTGAGAGAATTGGCTGTCTGCAAGGATAATGCCCAGGGGACGCCTGGATGATTTGATGTTTTTATCATCCTTGTGGGAGGCTTCTCTCATGTCCCCGAATGAGGAGCTGGAGCTGATAGAGGGAGCTCATCTGTCTCTCCCCGGATTCGAACCTGCGACCTGTCAGTCTTCAGTCCTGCCGGCACAGGGGTTTAACCCACTGCGCCACCTGGGGCTCCATGTATCCTGATATACATATGTGAAATGTAGGAAGGCATATTTCAACTCTTTGACTAAATATGATGTGAAATAGGCAATAATGCTTATTTGAGGGGAGTCAATGAAGAGGATTATAGTCATCTCTTCAAGTTTGCCTATTTGGTTATTCACGAATTATAGCTACTAGGCCTGGGTAACAACGGAAAAATTTGTTTCTAAAATCGATTTGTATTTGGGGTTTTTTTTTGTTTCGATATTTAAAATAATTACAAAATTTTCCTTTTAAAAAGTTCGATATTTACGAAATTTCGTAAATGGTAAAAAATTAACGAATCGATTTCCGAAACAATAACGAATCGATTCGTTAATGGCGGACGCGACCGCGAAATACGCTAAAAAACCTCCAAAACCTTCTGAAGCTTCCCTCTCCCTCTGTTGTTGACTGTTGGTGTGATATTATAAATTTTTTTCACTAATTAAACCATAAAACTGGCCCAGACATGCGGAAATAATAACGAAACGACCTCAAAACAATAACGAAACGAATACAATATCGAAATACGAAGCATTTACAAAACGTTTTTGAAAATTCGTTTTTTTAAATAATTGCTCCAGAATGGTTCGTTATCGTTTTGTAATTGAAAAAATTAACGAATTATTAACCAATTACGAATTAACGAAACGAAACCGCCCAGCCCTAATAGCTACTAATATAATATAATATAATATAATATAATATAATATAATATAGCTACTAATATAATATAATATAATATAGCTACTCATATTATAGCTACCCTAACCCACCTTGAGTTGCCGTATGGTTGAGAAAGGTGGGCTATAAATGTCGTAAATAAATAATACTCATGGCATGACATTCAAATTATTTTTTTCAAAATGAGGTAAAAAATAAAATGAGTTCTCTTGAAAGTCCTGATCAATTTTTCTTCTATATATAATATTTTCAGAGCAGTGCTCTCACCCTAAGATTCCTTCCTTTCTCTTAGACCAGTTTCTCAAACTGTATTCACCCAGATGTTTTGGACTTCAGCTCACACAATTCCCAATAGCTGGTAGGCTGGCTAGGATTTATGGGAGATGAAGTCCAAAACACCTGGAGGAGCACCGTTTGAGAAACTCTGCTTAGACCAGTGTTTCTCAACCTGTGGGTCCCCGAGTGTTTTGGTCTACAATTCCCAGAAATCTCAGCCAGGTTACCAGCTGTTGGGATTTCTAGGGGTTGAAGGCCAAAACATCTGGGGACCCACAGGTTGAGAACCACTGGTTAGACCCCAGGAGTAAGTAAGTTAGAACCAGACATGGGAAACCTAACCTTCCATGAATGTGCTTTTTTTGTTGTGTGCCTTGAAATGATTTCTGACTTATGGCAGCCCTAAGGCACATCTTGACAAGATTCAGCCATGGTTCCCAACCTTTGGCCCTCCAAGTATCTTTGGACTTCATCTTCCAGAATACTCTACTGCTGACCCTGCAAGCAAGGAGTTCTGGAAATTGAAATTCAATGTTTCTGAATAGTTGAAAACTATAGTTTTTTAGTCATCCGGTATGGTGGCCATCACTAAATCACAGATCTCCCCCATTTCTAGATACTGTTGCCAAACAAGAAGGAGATCAGTCATCTCATCCAGGAGGAGAAACCAATAACCAGGTGGAGCCTCACCTGTCTTTCTGTCAAGTCCAGATTCACGGCAATCTCATATCTTCGGAGCCTAGTCAGATAATTGTGGTGTGCAAATTCGGCCTCCAATTCCCGCAACTGGTCCTTTGTGAAGGCAGTGCGCTCCTTCCGTGCTTTGGAGCTATTGGCTTCTGCTTTTGTGGTAGTGGAAGCAGAGCTGTTGCCACCTCCATCTGTTTCCTGGTTCTCTGAAAGAGAAGGAAAATAGAAACATTCTTATGATCTATGTTTTTATCAGATTATTACTTATGAAATTTTATTGATGTTAAATGTTTTAACCATTTTTACATTACTGTGGGCATTGAATTGTGCTGTTTTGTAAATTGCCCTGAGTTGCCTTTGGGCTGGGAATAGTAGTATAGAAATATAGTAAATAAATAATAAATAAAATTATGAAACCAAGTCTTTCTTAGAGGAAAAGACCTGGAATCACAGCTTGCTGTAGATTCCCAGCAAATACCCACAATCCACATCAGGAAGAGTTCAAGATTTTCCATTCTTTGGCTCAATCATTAATCAGAGTTGAGTGTCTCTGTTATACTTCTGTAATGCCATGTGATTCTGTAATGTAATGGTGATAAGTTATACTCTACTTATACAACTCAATCAAATAACAATAATCAGAGTTGAGATTGCAGTCAAGAAATCAGAAGATGACCAGAAAAGGTTACTATGAAGGAACTAGGCAAGCTCCTGAAGTGTAAAGATACATCACTAAATACTAAAGTTGGGATGGGCCATATTCCCCATTTCTATGTATGGTGTTGGAGAAAAGTTATGTTGATACACTTGATCACCAAAAATACAAATAAATGGGTCCTAGAACAAATTGGGCCTCCGCTCTCCCTAGAAGCCAAGATGACTAAACTTCGGGCATATCAGGAGAAGAGATAATTCATTAGAAAAGATGATAATGTGGAAGGGAAAAGAGGAAATCTACATTCCAGATACTTAGACTTAAGTTAAGGAAGTTATAGCCCTAAATCTGAAAGACCTGACCAACATTATTGAGGATATAATGTCTTGGAGGTCTCTCAGGGCCCTTCCAGATAGGCCCTATATCCCAGGCTCTGGTCCCAGGTTTTCTGTTTATTCCAGATTATCTGGTAGTGGGGACTCATATAATCCAGTTTAAAGCAGAAAACCTGGGAACAGATCCTGACATATAGGGCCTGTCCGGAAGGGTCTTCATTCATAGGACTGCCACACATGGAAGTCAGCTTGACAGCAGTTAACAACAAAAAACAATAGAAACTAAATGGAAGATTATAAGAGATTGTTAACAACAGAATAAAAGTTAATGCCAGTTGAAAAAGAAGCTCTAGGATTTCATGCACTTAAAAACACACAACTGTCTTTGCTGACACATCTGCCAGCTCAGTTTATCTGGGCTTGAAACATTTTAAAGGTTGACCTGGCTTTCTAAAAGCCAAATTGGAAAACCTTTTTTTTAAAAAACTTGGACTCTTCTTATCATTGTCTTGGCTCACTTTTTTAAGCGTGGGTGGGGTTCAAATCCTTTCCAAAACAGAATTCCTTGGGACAGTTCCAAACCTGCTTAACATTTATTAGACTGCTTTCACAAACTCCTTTTAGTCCACGTGGACTGAACATGCAATTTATTTCAGTCCATTTTTAATAGCAAGTTTTAAAAAAAAAATTCTTCATAATCCGGGCTCCTTTCACATTATACAGTTCTAATAGTTTAAGAAGGAATGTTGAGAATTCTCAGCAAGATAACTCCAATGTGCAAGTACAAACCCCAGCATTTGTGTTATCATGAAAGTTAAGAGTGGATTAGGGTGTGATAATTTTGAAAAAATTCCATGATTTTAAGACTTTAAAAAATGAATGTAAAAAATGAATGTAGGCTAAAGTTAACTTCCAAATGTATGCAACCTATTTTGTGAAGAGGATTCACTATCTTGAGAGCCACCATGGTGTAGTGTTTTAAATGTTGGGTTATATCTCAGAAGACTAGGGTTTGGATCCCTGCTTCACCTACTGGATGACCTTGGGGAAGTCACACTCTCTCAGCCTCTGAGAAAAGTAAAGTTACCCCCACCTCCGAACAAACCTTGCCGGAAAAACCCAGCAATTGGGTCACTATAGGATCGCCAAAAGTTGACATGTCTTGAAGAAACACAATAACAACAAGTGTAGTATTTTGGATTGTAGTCCAGCATTCTGCTGGAGGATTACAAAGGATTTACTTCAGAATAAACGTATCAGTCTTTAAAGTGCCACAAAACTTTTTGTTATGGTTGCTTTGATGACTGTACCTATTTAAAGAAGGTCAAATACTCTGTTTTCAATATTTCAAATACTTATATGATTTTTTTGTGTGTGTCAGGAGCAACTTGAGAAACTGCAAGTCACTTATGGTGTGAGAGAATTGCCAGTCTGCAAGGACGTTTCCCAAGGGACATCTGGATGTTTTACCAACCTGTGGGAGGTTTCTCTCATGTCCCCACACAAGAAGTTGTAGCTGAGAGACGGGAGCTCACCCCTCTCCCAGGATTCAAACTGCTGACCTTTTGGTCAGCAGTTCTGCTGGCACAAGGGTTTAACCCAGCCATGGGCAAACTTTGGCCCTCCAGATGTTTTGGATTTCAAATCCCACAATTCTTGGCTGTCAAGAATTGTGGGAGTTGAAATCCAAAACATCTGGAGGGCCAAAGTTTGCCCATGCTCATTGTGACATTGGGGGCTCCATACTCATATGATGAAATGTAGGGTTGGTGCAATAATAAAAATATTCTCAAAATTCACAGATTCTGTACCCATAGCTTACATTTTTTTAAAAAAATCCCAAAAGAAAACTTTTATTTTGGCATTTTGTATAAGGGACACCATTTTATTACATCATTATATTAAATGTTAAATTAAATGAATATCCACAGATATTGGTATCCACGGTGGGTCCCAAAACCAAACTCAAGTGGATACCAGGGCCCCACTGTAGTTCTACAGTAATATTTAATCATAAATTTTACTCAGGGCTCAGCCATGTAGAATCACAAAGGCAAGAAAGCTGGTGAACACATACAGTGAACGACCACAACCAGCTCCAACACGACCACAACCAGCTCAAGGCAGCCTGTCCAAGCCAGAAGTTGGGACCAAGTCAGGTGTCAGACTTAGCACTTTGTCTTCAGCTCCGCACCTTGGAATTAAGAGTTGCCAGGTGTGACCTTAGGAGCTTGCCCTTCTGTTCAAAAGTTACAGGGCTATGAATCATGATGCAGCTGTGGCTTCTCCTGCCATTGGTTGCCTTTTTCAATTTCTTGAGCTTCCAGTTCAACTTTGCAGGAAACACAGCAAGAAGAGCAACTGAGAAAAAGGGGCAAGGAAAGCCACCACACATATCCTCCAACTATCCCAATGTGGCAGTCCTGATTAATACTGCTGTCCCATCTTTTCCCAGTTGTCCCAGTTTCTTTCTCTCCTCCCACTTTCCCTATTGTCCTAACTTCAATGGCTTCAAAATGAGGAAATTGCTTGCATTTAATTAATTCAGTTGGGAAAGAGGACAGGGGCAACATCTTGCTCTTCCAACCACTCTCAGGCAAAAGAAAACTCCCGTAGCTTCTCCTAGCTTCTTCTGTGTTCATTGCTTTTGTCATCTTCAACACATTCTGATGTTGCTTGGCACACATGCCCTGGTCTACATCTGTGAAATGTTGGAAGTTATGTAAATAAGGTTGTTTGGTCTCTTGAAGGGAAACTATGCAAGATCTCTTGGGTGTAACTTGGCAACCTTTTCTGGAATTACTACATCCTGAAGATGGTCTCAATTTTAGATGGAATTGGAGACATTCTTATTTTAGAAAAGCTTTCCTTTTCAGCTCCTTTTGCTAAAATGTATGGTGGGAATTTATATGTATGCCAGTATGATAGTGAACATGGTTCAAATCTGGTATTGCAGGTGCCTCTATGATGTAATAGCCCACAGACTAAAATTAACGTACCGTATATTATAATCTAGGACTTTAAGATCATCTAGGGAGGCCCTGCTCTCGGTCCCGCCTCCATCTCAGATGCGTTTGGAGGGAACAAGAGACAGGGCCTTTCCAGTGGTGGCCCCTCAGCTGTGGGACACCCTTCCTAGGGATATTAGATTAGCCCCCTCCCTCTTAACCTTTTGCAAAAAGGTTAAAACTTGGCTTTTTGAGCAGGCATTTGCAAATGCAATGTAACAGGCAATGATAGACCATGGAACGACTGACAATGCGATTGAATAATGATTTCAGTAAGGAGACGCTAAGGATTTATGTTTTTATTGACTTTTTATGAACCTATATTTTATATGTTAAGGTTTTTAATTGTATTTTATATGTTGGGGGCATCAAATTGTGCCAAATGTAAACTGCCTTGAGTCACCTTCAGATTGGGAAAGGTGGCATATAAATATGATATATACATAAATAAACAAACAAACAAATAAACAGAACTTATAATGTACCTACATATATTACGAACCACCATGAAGACTAAGATCTTTTGGGGAGGCCCTGCTCTCGGTCCCACCACTGTCACATGTGCATTTGGCAGGGACAAGAGACAGGGTCTTCTCAGTGATTGCCTCCTAGCTATGGAACTCCCTTCTTGGCAATACTAGATCAGCCCCCTCCCTCCTGTCCTTCAGAAGGATGGTGAAGACCTAGCTGTGGGACCAAGCCTTTGGGGCAGTGCAATGAGGCAAAATGGTGTCCTGAGATGGTTTTTAAGCAACTGATTTTAAAGTGGATATAAATGATTTTAATGTTTGTGTATATTTAGGGTTTTATGTCCCAGTACTGAATGTTTGCTGTATATATGTTGAGTCCCCTGCAGTGTGAGAAGGGTGGAATATAAATGTTTCAAATAATAATCATAAATAACTTATTATCATATCTCTTATATTCATATGTCTTACACTTTTTTTCCAGTGGCATCTTTAACTACAGAATAACAAATCCCAAAAATATTTAGGGGTAATCATGCTATTTTCAAAGCCATTCCAAAGCAATTTTATTTCAAAGGCAAAGATACCAAGCCTCTTCAGTGCAATTTTGGCCTCTGGTCCCAGTAAGGCAGTCGTCAACAAGAATGACAGTTGTCCCTCCACATTTGCTGTTTTGATTTTTGTAGATTTTATTATTCATACACTTGATTAAAATATTCTTCCATGGTGACTCTATGATCAACTTCCTTCTCACCGTACTAGAAGACCTAAAGATTTCTAAAGGAAACACCTCTCTAGGTTCTCCAGTGCATTTCCCATCAGAAGGCAACTACAGAATCATGCTGGAAGACCTAGAAATTCATTGAAAGGTGTTCTTTTAGGGAAAGAATCCCAGCAATGTCTTTATTCATGGGTTTTCACTTTGACAGGGGTCATGGGCCCCTGATCCCAGTGAATGTGGAGAGCTAGCTGTAGTTCATTCCCTGCATCCTGTAACCGAGAGTCTTGTTTCTTATCACAATCAGATCTTCAACAGTTTGTGCAGGAGACAGGACAAGGCCTTTTGAGTGGTAGCCCTGAAGTCAAGAAACTTCTACCAAAAGGCCCCGTTGGTTCCTCTTACTGTTAACATTCAGTCCCCTTCCACACAGCTGAATAAAATCTCACATTATCTGCTTTGATCTGGAATATATAGCAGCGAGGACTCGGATAAGCCAGATCAAAGCAGATATTGTGGTATTTTCTGCCTTGATATTCTGGGTTATATGACTGTGTGGAAGGATCCTCAGAAGGCCTACTGAAAATTGTGTTCCCTTATGCCTTGAGTTAACTTTCCACCATCTCAACTTTAGCTATGTTGTATTTAGTGCAGTGTTCCCAAACATTGGTTCTCCATATGTTCGGGACTTCAACTCCCAGAATTCCTAACTATTTGCCAAAACACCTGGGGGACCAAAATTTGAGATTCACTAGTTTCATGGATTTTGTTTATGTTCTGTTCTTCATTAATCACAAGGAGGAAAATCATTATAATATTAATACTGTATTGCAAATTCTGGTTTTATGTTACAAACTGCTTTGATGGATTCTGGACCAAAACCCAAGATAAACAAACCAACAAAGATGTTGGAGTACAGTCACGTTCAACTCCACCTACCTGCATTCCCCTTTTTCCTCCGGGATAGTTTCTTCTCCATTTCCCTCACTGCATTCCCTGCTAAGATGTAGTCTTCATCCGTGCTTATGGCTGTATCCACCACATTGGGGCTGCCACTTTCAGGTTCTCCTGTCCCTTGAGCCAATTCAGTAGGAAGCCGCCTTCGCCCCTCTAGAGCCGTAAAATGCCATGCAGGGTTCTGGAAGGAGAGATGATGCTGATCCACAAAAGCCCGCTCATCCCGGGGATGGCTTTGAGGGGCCGCAGCCAGGCAAGAGGTGGAAAAGTCCGTATAACCCCCCAAGTCTGGTTTGTGGTGGAATGAAAAGGGGGGTTGTGAGTAATGGTGAAGGCCTGCTGTCCCCCCAACCTCAGCATGGGGGTTCCTCAAGCATCCCCAGAGGGTGGCTGTAGGGTGAGAGCTTCTCATACAGCTCCCAGCGGCAGGTGGATCCATCTAGTAGCACAAAACTTTTCTATCATAAGATGCTCGCCAAATAAATTCCTGTTGATTTTGTGCAGCAGTCCAACCAACTCCAAAAGAATCAGGTCCTTTCCGGTGAAAAGAAAACTCTCCAGCTTTTTCCTTTTGCTCTGTCATGGGTTTGTTGGCTGAGGAGGTCCAGGGAAATGCTCCATAAACATCAGCAGGACTTCACTTCTGTTGCTTCTGAAGCCAGCAGCTTCCTTGCTGTGAAGCGCTGAAGTCCAGAAAAGACTTTTAAAGACTTTGCTGGGGTGTGAGTGACAAGTTTAGGAAGGGAACTGTGTCTGTGTGCATATGTGTGTGTGAGAGAGAGAGAGGAGCAAGAGGGAGGGCTTAACCTGAACGCCCGCAACCCCTCCAACCAAAGCCAAGCCTGCGACTATTAATCACCCGAAACCTTAGAGGCGCATCTAATGGGAAATGCAGATGGAGACTTTTAAAGAAACATTGTCTGTACTTTTTTTTTAAAAAAAAGGAGGAGGTAGTACACACATACACACAAGGAGGGTTTAATGTTTCCTTCTCACACTCTGGAGTTATTTTTATTGCAAAGGGAGAGGGGAAACACTTTTTTATTATTTGTAAAAAAAACTGTACCAGATCAAGGTGTGTAACAGGGACAAGATAAAGAAAGTAAAAGCCAGAAAGGCAGATATATTTTAAAATGAAATACTTAGTTTCAGAATTAGAAGTGTAAGCAAAAAGCAAAATAAGTTTCAAAGCAAAAAAAAAAAAATGGAGAAGAGGAGGCAAGCACATCAAAGCTATGAGACAGAAACCTGAGCTGCTTCAGAAGCACCCATTCTGAAAGAGCACTGAACTTGTGGGGGTCTGCTGCTGAAGGCTTTCATGGCTGGAATCACTGGGTTGCTGTGAGTTTTCTGGGCTAAACGTCAGGAGAGAATGCTTCTGGAAGATGGCCATACAGCCCGGAAAACTCACAACAACCCTTGTGGGGATTTTTTAAACGAAAGTGTCATCCCCAACTGATTTTGTGACTCTGTTGTGGATTTATATCACTGTTTCTCAACCTTCCTAATGCCGCTGCCCCTTAATGCAGTTCTTCATGTTGTGGTGATCCCCAACTATATTTCCCAGCTTTGAAAGTAAAGATCATCATTTGCAGAATAAAACACATGGCCACCCAAGACTATAAATCAGTGGTTCTCAACTTTCCTAATGCCACGATCCCTTAATACAGTTCCTCATGTTGCAGTAACCCCCAACCATAACATTTTTGTTACTACTTTATATCTGTAATTTTGCTACTGTTATGAATCGTAATGTAAATATCTGGTATGCAGGATGTATTTTCATTCACTGGACCAAATTTGGCACAAATACCTGAGACACCCAAATTTGAATACTGGTGGGGTTGGGGGTTTGATTTTGTCATTTAGGAGTTGTAGTTACTGGGATTTATAGTTCCTCTACAAGCATTCTGAGCTCCACCAACAATTGAATTGGACAGAGCTTGGCACACAGAACTCCCATGAACAACAGAAAATACTGGAAGGGTTTGGTGAGCATTGACCTTGAGTTTTGGAGTTGTAGTTCACCAACATCCAGAGACCACTGTGGACTCAGCAATGATGGATCTGGACCAAACCTGGCACAAATACTCAATATGCCCAAATGTGAACACTGGTGGAGTTTGGGGAGAAATAGACCTTGGCATTTGGGAGTTGTAGTTGCTGGGATTTATAGTTCACCTACAATCAAAGAGCATTCTGTACCCCACCAACTATAGAATTGGGCCAAACTTCCCACACAGAACCCCCATGAGCAACAGGGCTCTTTGGTGACCCCTCTGATACCCACTCGCAACCCCCCTCCCAGAGGTCCCATCCCCCAGGTTGAGAAACATAGTTCTAATTAACTAACATACATGCACACATAGTTCTAATTAACTAACACACACACACACAAAACATGGCAAGTTGAATCCATGGATATGGAGGGCTGATGAATTAGGCCAAACTTCCCACACAGAACCCCCATGACAAAGAGAAAATGCTATGTTTTCTGTTGGTCTTTGGCGACCTTCTATTAGTTTGGAATACGACAATTGCCTCGGGCGGCAAATGCTGGTGAACAGTGAAACAGCCCTCCTCACAGCCATTTCTCCTGAACCCTTTCGCCAATGGAGGAAGAGCTTTGTGTGCCACCCAAATCTGTCCTATACTTCCTAATAGGCCTTCTCCTTCCAGATCTTTTCTTATGGTTGAAATATGAATCAACTACCAGACTGGACATATTACACACCTGGAATGGACTTTAATATGTCTTTGAGATGGCCATGGTATTAAAGAGAAATCAGAATGGACAAACTAACACTGCTACAATTTGTAGGTTATCAATTGGTCATGAATTCAATGCTATAAACTTGCACTATAGTCTTTTGTTATCGCAAATTCTTGAGTTATCTTTGCCTTTTCATGGATCATTCCACAGCTAGTCAGATTGGCTATTATCATATTTTTTCAGACATAACTTGTTTACAGTTCTCGGGGTCTGAGAAGGCACACAAAGATGTTGAGGTTCAGGTGCTTCCTCATCCAGAACTTGGGAAAACTGCATTTCCCACAATCCACCAGTCATCGTGGTCAATCCAAAAAAGTAACTTATTTAATGAGCCCCTGGTGGCGCAGTGGGTTAAACCCCTGTGCTGGCAGGCCTGAAGACCGACAGGTCACAGGTTCAAATCCGGGGAGAGGCGGATGAGCTCCCTCTATCAGCACCAGCTCCTCATGCAGGGACATGAGAGAAGCCTCCCACAAGGATGATAAAAAATCAAATCATCGAGTTGTCCCTTGGCAACGTCCTTGCAGACAGCCAATTCTCTCACACCAGAAGCAACTTGCAGTTTCTCAAGTTGCTCCTGATACGACAAAAAAAAACTTGTTTAATTCTCTTCATAGCATATACACAGAAAGTACTGGTTCACTTGTCTGCAGTCTTGTTTTCAATTATGAAGATGGAAATATTTGTTACATTAATGTCAGAAATTGTTAAGTATTTGAAGATGAATAATGTAGTCGATCTGCTTTATAAACAAACTAATTCCATATTTTGGCAATCTTAACTGCTTCTCCTTGCCACAAAGTTTCTGGTTTCAGAATAATTGGCTACATTTTTATTGTTTATTGTAATTATGTTAATTTTCCTTACCGCTATATCCAGAAATCAACTAAGGATGACTTGGACTCAAAAAGGTCAGGAAAAAGTGTTATTTTGACCAATCCATGATCTGGACAGGGGAACTTGTGTGCATTCCTCCCCAGTTTCTGAATCCTGAAAGAGCCAATTGTCGGTGCTATGAATTCCACCTGGCACTCTGTTGGTATTTCATGCACATATTGTGCTTTGCATGCAAGCTGTATATTTCTTGCCATGGCACAATGTCCATATTTATACACACTTGCATAAACAATTCCATAAATGTTAAGTACTTCCACAAATGCAAATGTTGCTCCTCTAGTTGCATATTCCTGGATAGTGCACAACTGCTCATCAGTTGTGGAAACAGCAAGCATGCACTCAACAGGTTGCAAATACTGATATGCAGCTGAAGGGTGATGTAGTACAAACTCTTAAGTGTATATTTGCACTACATATTTATGATGTAGGTGTTGAATTCCAACAATTCAACCCCACACTGCCCAAGTCTCAAGTCCTCAATAAGGAGCAGTTAATAGTATAGACCAGGGGTCCTCAAACTTTTTAAACAGAGGGCCAGGTCACAGTCCCTCAAACTGTTGGAGGGCTGGATTATAATTTGAAAAAAAAGAATGAATTCCTATGCACACTGCACATATCTTATTTCTAGTGCAAAAAAAAAACAGTTAAAAACAATATAATAATTAAAATGAGGAACAATTTTAACAAATATAAACTTATTCGTATTTCAATGGGAAGTGGGGGTCTGTTTTTGGATGATGAGATAGGATTGTTGTTGTTATGTGCTTTCGTCGTTTCAGACTTAGGTTGACCCTGAGCAAGGGCCGGGTAAATGACCTTGGAGGGCCGTATCCGGCCCCCGGGCCTTAGTTTGAGGACCCCTGGTATAGACTAAGGGTTTTCCTTCCTGCATGTCTCCTGTATATTGGGAATGTATCTATTTCTTCTCTCCTCTCTGTTTCTGCTGTCATTGGTTGTGTAGAATGCATATTTTTCTACTGCAAGCTTTTACACATCTGAATACTACTTCTTACATCTGAGAATGTGCCTTGTGCTTTGAGATCTCTCTCTGCATGTATGTCGGAGAGATATAGTGATTGGTTTCCCCCCCTCTCTTTGAAACCTTAGAACAATGGTACTATGCACTTACATGTTTTTAGCTTTGTTATTAATCTGTGTATTTATTTGCTTAATTCTTTTAATTGTTTAGTTGATGGAATATGTTTTTATGACTGTATTTTACGAGGAACTGAATTTTGCCAGAGCTGTAAGCTGCCTTGAGTCCCCCAAAGCAGTGAGAAAGGTGGGGGAGAAATAAAGCAAATAAATAAATAAATTAGAAGAGATGGGTGTTAGAGTAGCTCAAACCCAGTTCTTTATTATTAAGAAATCCAGTTATTGTTTATTATTGTAAATCTTTTGTGATTTTTTTAAAGGATTGGACTCAATATCTTTACCTGCCTAAGCTCTTAATTCTTACAGCCACAACCAACAGCACTTCACCCTCTGCTTAGTAATCAGCTGATGCTCAACTTTTAAGTATCCTGTTTCATTTTTGGATGCTCTGCTATATTTTAGGGTAGTTTTCCCTAACAGTAGGAAGAAGCCTGGCTTCCATATTCTTTGAAGCTTTAGAAATTGGTAGTATTTGGATTTACGTTTACTTTCGTCTTCCTCCTTCTCCTCCTCTTCTTATTCTTTTTCTCATCTTCTACTTTAGCTTCTTCTCTATTTCTGTTTTGGGGAAGTTTCTAGGCTCAGGAGTTAATAAAGCAAACCTTTCTGGCAAATAAAGTAGCTCCTGCTTGTATCGATATCGCCCCAAACCACCTTAATGACAAAATAAGGTATCAGAATAACATCTAAGAAGACCATCATTCCTTTTCCTTCATTATTTTTAACATCTTTGCCTGGTGAAGAAGCCAGAGAAGCTATGAAAGCTCACATGCCATAATTTGTGCTTTCTAGTTGGCTCCGTAAAGATATCACTGTTTCGTGGATTTGGGGTTTTGTTGTATTTTGCTGCAAGCCAACACACCGCTGAATATTTTTCCTGAACTTTAAGAGAAAGAACTACAATGTAAATAAAAGGCTAAAGGATACAAAGCGGCATCCTCAGGCCACTTATGCCAAAATTTCCTCTTTTTTTTACAAGAGACATTTTACATTCAGTGAATGTAT